TGATTGGACATGAGCCACTTGAGCGATGCGTGATCGGTGATGATGGTAAATTCGTGTCCTTCCACGTATGCTCTAAAATTCTTCAGGGCTACTATAGCTGCTAAGCACTCCTGTTCGGTTACGGTATAGTTTCTCTGCGCACGATTTAGTTTCTTCGAAATAAAAGCTATCGGACGTTCGTCTCCCTCTTGAGATAATTGTACCAAGACGGCACCGACACCAGTCTTGCTAGCATCACAATGGATGGCGAACGGCTTAGAAAAATCCGGGCTACTCAATACCGGAGCTTCACTAAGACGACTCTTCAGCGCTTCGAATGCCTTCAGTGCTTCAGGAGTCAAACAGAATTTACGTTTTGTTGTCATCAAGTCGGTTAAGGGAGAAGCAAGAGAGGCAAAATTTGGTACAAATTTGCGATACCAGCCGCATAATCCCATAAAACTCCTTAAACCTCGTAAAGTTTTAGGAACAGGAAATTCGGTAATTGCTTTGACCTTATCAGGATCTGTTCGGATTCCGCCATCGCCAACAATATGGCCAAGATAACGCACCCGTTGCATACAGAAATGACTTTTGCCAATATTGATTGTCAATCCTGCACGCTTGATGTGAAATGCGATCTCTCTGAGAACGTCAAGATGACTGTTAAAGTTGGAGGAAACCACAAGAAGATCGTCTAAATAAACGAATACTTCGTTTCTTAGATGCGCTGGAACGACTTTGTCCATTAAGCGAGACATAGTACTTGTGGCATTGCATAGGCCAAAAGGCATTACCTTAAATTGGTAAAGAGGCCTACCGGGGACTGTAAACGCAGTCTTGTCTCGAGAATTAATTTCTAAAGGCACCTGCCAATAAGCATCTTTCAAGTCCAAGCTTGAAATATATTCCGCCTTAGGCAAACGACTCAAAATTCCGCTGATTTGAGGAAGCGGATATGCGTCTTTCTCTGTAAAGCTATTGACTTTTCGACAATCTAAACAAATTCTAACTTTACCAGGTTTGGTAACCATCACTATAGGGGAAGACCAAGCGCTTTCCGATTCTTCAATTACGCCCATTTGCAACATCCTGTCAATTTCGGCGTACATACTCTTCTCAACAGCTGGCGACACTGGAAAATGGCGCTGTTTAATCGGCTTCGCTCCACCCACATCTATTGCATGAGTTATTAAATTCGTTTTTCCAAGTCCTTCCTGCGTGAATGACGGGAAACAATTGATGACATTGCCAAGCTTTGCTTTTTCCTCAGCAGACAAGTCGTGTTGATCAACTTCGACCTTGCTGCTAGCTTCGATAGTAGTTTCTAACTCTGATATATTAAGGTTTTTGGGGAGAAGATCATATAGTCTCCAAAAATCTATACCTAAATAAAGATCATGTTTCAAAGACGGTACTAGGTAAATATTTAAAGGTTTTCTCTTGTCTCCATATTCTACGTCAATTTCCATTCTTCCTACTACTTTCTGAGGTCGTCCATCTGCTGTTTTGGCTTTAATGTTTAATGGCTTGTATTCGGTATCATTCGCCATAACTTCTTTAGCTAGATCTCCTCCAATACAACTTATTGAGGCCCCTGAGTCCAGCAAACCAAAAACAGTACGGTCTAATAAGCGAATCGGCAGAAATGGTCGTGGATCTCTTGATCCCGTAGGGAGAGAACAAATATATTTCAACCCGAGCCTACAGCTTTTAACATTCTGCCAAAACCTTTTAATTCTTTCGGCGCTGCGAGACTTACGGATTTCTAAGAGATGTTCAGAAAACACAGTAGGAGTTAAAATCTGAGGTAACTTTTTAAGTTTACAATGCAGTAGAGAGCCGACATTGCTTTTTGATACGTCCGGGGAAGTTGGTGATGCGACTAATGGTGCATTCACATCTGATCGGTCATAGTTGATTGGTGACGAGAGGCATTCAAAGTCTTCGGTTTGAACTGCGACTTCGAACTGCCGGGCTTTAAGTTTTTTGAGCACTTAACGCAGTTTGGCTTATAGGTGTTAGCGGTTCCGCAACCGTAACAAAATACGCGCTTCTCTGATAAGCAATCTTGGTATCTGTGCCCTTCTTTGCGGCAATTCCAGCATACCAAGGAAAATGCGTCCACCTCTAATTCACTTTCGGATTCGGACCCATTCTGAGAATCTGGCTCTTGAATAAGCTCTGAGACTTCTCGTCTAAACGGTGTGTTTTTACTGTATCCGTGAGAGCGTTTGACATCGTCTAGAAAAGCTTCGCGTCGACGACAAGTTTCTCTCAACTCAGATACTGAAGAAATGTCAACATTCAACAATTCATGGCGTATTTCGGGTCTCAAATTGTTTTTGAGAATTCGGACAAGTTTTCTCGGCGACCATGGTACTTCTAACTGATCGACTAATACGTTTACACTATCGTAAAAACTATCAAAAGATTCATTGGGCTTTTGTTTTCTGTTTCTGATTAACTCTTCTACATCAATATCGTCCCTTTTTTGACGAAATTGCAATCGCAAGGCAGAACATAATCTATCCCAACGTACTTCGGTTACCGATTTATGGTAACGCCAATAAAATTCGTTGGCTTTGCCCTCGAATAAGACGCTAGCATTTCTGCAAAGCACTGAGAAGTTGCCTTCAAGTGTCTGATGCGTCAGCGCTTCGACTCTGTAAATAAAATTGTCTATCGATACACCTGATCCGGAATATTTTATCTTCCATCCATTCAGGATATGCACGACCTTGTCGGGTCTATTTAAGAGATCAGAAGGGATACTTCTATGAGAACTTGGAGAACCTAAGTTAGGCGCGACAAAATTTGTGTTTTGGATATGTTCATTGCCAGAAATTGGTCGGTCTAAGGGTGGTGGAGTAGCTGACCTATCTCTGTCATTCGCATTGGAGCTAGATGGAGGGGAGATTAATCTCTGAATACTGTCACTCACTGAAGTTTGTATTAACTCAGTCATTTTCTCTGACAACACTGTGAGCAGTCTTCGCTCCATTGAGAGTAACGTCATTGCATTAGCAACATTAGCTGGATCTACATCCCTACTGCTACTACTATGAGCGCCTCCTGACGTACCAGGGACGTTTTCAGATATATTTCTATCATCAATACTTTCTGTGCCACGACTTTTAGATTGGGATCGCGTTTGTAAACCTTTACTCTCGGCTACTGGCCTGCAAGAAATTCTGCATACTGGACAGCTTTCACTTTTCTTCAAATGTGCCTCAATACATTTCTTGTGAAATTCGTGATGGCATACAGTTTCAAATAAATCGGTTGCTGCCTTAATATCTGCTTTACATAACGGACAGACTGGCTTTGCACCTCCTTGCGATGCTTTTCCCGGAGAACGGTCTAATCCCATTTTGAAAATTTATAAAAATATAACAAAAGCAAAAAAAAAAAAATGTTGTATCCTTAATTTCCAACGATTTAAACAACAGCTCAAAACCAAAATAATTTAAAACCAAAATGTTGTATCATTAATACCAAATGATTTCAACAACAGCTCAAAAAGAAATAAAAAGATAAAAAAAAAAATGTTGTATCATTAATATCAAATGATTTCAACAACAATCGGTAACTCTCACGATATAAACTGTGGTTATAATAATAAAGATAAAGCTTTAACTCTAGCTTGATGTCCACAACTCGTAGGATAAAAATTTTATTTACTACTAACATTTCTCAGGAAAGAAGAAAAGAATACAGATGAAGTGAATTTCTTGCCTTTCTTACTACAAGAAAATTCAATAAGGGAAGTAATTAGGCTTTAATAAATATGAAACGGATAAGTTATTCTTAAAAAAAAAAGTTCTTATGTTCCAGTCTCAACTCACATAAGTCTAATTCCTCTAAGAAAAAATTATAAATAATTCTTTCTAAAAGTCAACCGTGGATAGGGCACTTCAGTAAAACAATGCCTCTATTTTCCGAAACGCCTAAGCTTGAAGAAAGCATTTATTTAAGTAAGTGTGAATATTGTAGTGATTTGGTAAACCAGCAAGGGCCAGAAGATCAATCGCAATTTGATACTCTCTGTATTTTCCTCAGACTAAGTTTTCCTTATCATCACATACAAAAGGAAGGAAAATTCTTACACGGACTTTTAATTAAGGCCAGACGGAAACTAATGTTCACTTGCTCTGTTATCCATAATAAATAAAAATCAACATAAGAGATTTTGATCAGAAGTTAAAGTTGAAATAAATGAAAGAAAGAAAAGAGATTGAATTTATCTATCGGTGAGTCTTAATGAGGTAATACTGTACTCACTAAGGCCCCACACGTTGGGCGCCACCTTACTTAATAATAATAATAATAATAATAATGATATTATAACTGTAGCGTGTAACGAAGGTATTCTGTGGTGAGTTCTAGGATCTGTCCTTGCGGGTGCACACTATAGGGTCCGGCTCTCGCTCGTCTGCTTTGGGGGTGGAGGTCTTGCTTAGACAAATCCGCACACTAGCTACATATTATTATTTTTAAGACCAGAATTGAGTGTGCTGACGAAAATAAATGCGAGATATCAAAATCAGAAGAGAAATAGATAAAATTCAAAAAAAACAAGAGATAGAAAAGATCGAGAAAAGTTAGAATCAGCGATGCCACAGATGTTGTCGTGGTCGCGAAATGCCCACCCTACCTATGATCACCATCCTTCAGAGCTAAACTCCGGTGACCCCTAATACCCTACGATTGTGGAAGCATCAGCCGAGTTAAAAAAAACGTGAACTACTCGAAATTCATTTCAAATACAATTTAATTAATAGTTATACAAGAATTCATTATTGTTATTTGCTAACAGGTAGATACTACAAATTTTATATAAATATAATAAATGATATACAGGCGATAAAAATACTATTTAGATACTTAAATATTTAAATGATGTTATCCTCATAAATTAAAGTAGTTATAATGTTCGTATATATTTAAAAAGATAAGAAATAAGAAAAATATAGGGTATTCAGATATCGTACTTCACCAATAAAAAATATTACTCTGGTATAACAATAGATATTTAAATTTCATTGCTTTAATTTATTTTTTTATTTCACTAAATCATCTTCATTCTGTTTGATATCTTTTTGTTTAATTTAATTTAGTTTAGTGAGGCTATCGGTTCAGGGTTCTTTTAAATTCACAGTTTCATTCAAGTAGATTGTTAAAAATTATTTCATAGAGTATTTCGCAATAAGATATAAATAGAATAGATATAAATGCAATAATGAGAATAATAAACTCACAGCTTATACGTTGTTCCAGCGGCGAAAGATCGATCTCCCGGGCAGGTGGCTGTAAAGGGTGAAATTGGGGCTCGAAAACACAAAACTATTCTATAAAAATCTTTTAACTTGGAACCCTTTTAGGCCTACATATTTTACTGAGAAGCGACTGTGATATCTTCACTTAACCACATTTTTAAATTTAATATTCACTATTGTTTCTTATCAGAAGTTGCTATTTTCAAATTATATTTAAATTTACAAAAAAAAAATAAATATTTAATTTATCGCTTTTAAGTCATAGTTGAGCGAATTTTCCAAAACAAAATCGATGCGTAAATAACTCCACTCGTGAAAAATTAAGTTTTAAATTTAATTTAATTTAAATATTACGTTTTAGACTGAATCATTCAGACTTTAGAAAATATCACTTAAACTTGATTTTTACGGCATGTTGCTATCTTTGATTCATTAAATTTTCTTCACTTTGGCACGTTTCAAAACTTTCAAATTTTTAATTATAATATTTCACTTTAAAAAAAATCGCAGTAGCGGCTTAAAAGAAATTCCAGGTTATACATTCCCTTTTGTGTCCATATTTGGCTATACTAAATCTGCTGCTGCTGCTGCCGTGGGTAGAGAGGGTTAAACATCTCTCCAAATCACTTCTTTAATGCTGCATTCTTGAATTTAATTCCAGTTGAAACTCCTTATTTTTCCTTTAATTCCGATTCTTATTCCTTAATTTTCCTTATCCGATTTAATTTGGGGCACGATATACAATCATGCCCCCCACTGTCTTGAAGGGGTGCTCCCACGGATGCCAATATTGATGGCCACGTGAGAAATATATATATCATATATATCTAAAGAAAATCTGGGGTTAGAATTGATAAAAAATCTACTTCCACCACTTACATCGCAATAGTTTTCCAAAATTAATCACAAAAATATTATTCAGCTAGGCTCGCTGCACTTATTCCTCTTATTATTTTCCACGATTTCAATATATAATATTTTTAAATAAAAACTTTGTTGGAGTAATGCAAAAGGCACGTCTGCTTATATCGGATGTCAGTCAGAAAAGAACCTTACCAAATATAGGTAGTGTTAGGCTAGGGTATGGTCGGAAGTTCGCCACAGATGATAACACCAGATGTCTAAGACGAGCTTCCCACTGCATCTCTGTTACAGCTGATTTAGCAAACATATGTGTAATTAGCTAAGACACTAAGCCGAGCTTAGATATATTTTAAAGCATGCTTCTAGGCCGAACTAAACTATCTGGTCGCTACAGGCGCCGTTACAAAAGCGCCCAATGAATGTGCTATAAAAACCGAGAGATAGGATTACCAGAAACATACATAGCGACGATTAGCTGAAGAGTAATGAAAATACTAGACAAATTATACTTTTAGCTAAAATCAAGTGGAACTAAGAAAATGTATCCAAATTCTTCCGTAAAAGAAAACACATTTCTAGCAAACAATTTACCATAAATAAGAGTCTAATATACATATACTATACTGAGCAGCATAAATGTAGAGTCATGGAAATACGTAAATCAGACGACACAAATACAGACACGCCCGGAACCCTGAGAAAAAATACAGATCAAGCAATTGCAGCCCACTAAGGAAATGATGATATCAGCATGGAAAAGTTCGATTTGAGAGGGCTAAAAAAGGAGTAGGGAGTAAGGAGTAGTATTAGCGGTAGCTGAAGGACGATTACAGAGAGGGGAACCCAACTGATCTCTACTGTGTTCTATGCTTTAGAGAGGACATAAGTAACGTTGAAAAACCAAAGTATTACAATTTTGAGCTGCAATATTTTTTAATCAAAAACCAAATGGAAAATGGATTTAATAACAGTAAAATACAAAGATAATAATTAATATATATTTTTCTCTTTTGAGATAAACCAAACGAAAACTGTTTTGATGTGAATTGAGTTAGGCAACAAATAAACGAGGTCATAAAATAACATAACATATTCCAAAAAGTATCAAAACGGAAACCAAAGCTAGCTAAGGAAATGCACAAAGTTTTGTGTGTATTTTTTCGGTTTTTATTCATGTGTGTAAATCTTCCGTGTGCAAAAACAAAAACAAAAACAAAGAAACGAAAAAAGGAAAACCAGAACTACACTACACTACAAAAGCAAAGCCAGACACTAAGCCCAACTGAAATTGTCAAATATGAATTAATATATATGAGGTCTATATGAGCATATATTTAGATAACAATTATATTATATATATACATATATATTATATACATACATGTGTGCAAATTATTCAGATCCATCAAAATACGATGCGGGAAGGAAAAAGTCTCTATATATATTTAGTAAAATTATAACGAAAGAAAAATGAATACGTAGTACAACGGCAAGCGAAATAAAAGTATAAAGCAAAACATATAAGAGAACACAAAATTCGAGAAAACGGAAAAAGCTAAAAAAAAAAGACGAATAGCAAAAAAATAATTATTTATAAAGGCTGTAATTTTAAGTAAAGGTCAACCCGAGAAACATAATAAGACGCAAACATAAAACACAACAAAAAAATTAAAAAAAAAAAAAAAAAAAATTTAACGTCAACATATTTCACCCACAAAGCAAATTAAATTAACTAAAACCAAAAAAAGACGCGAGAATATACTATAAAACATAAGTAAGAACGATATCTAAAAACGAAATTATAAAACTAAAAAGAAAATTATATGAAATAAATACATACAACAAAAAAAGTAAAGCATAAACATAAAACCCAAAAAATTATATATATACGAGAACTCAATGTATGTAATAAATATAAAACTAAATAAATAAAATCTTAAAAAAGGAATAAACCGAAGGAATCAATGGTTGTTTTCATATATTATTTACTGAGAAGATAGATCATTCGATTATTGTTTATGCGAGTGCATTTGGAACAGATGACGCATTTATTGGACCCCTGCCAGACTGCCATCGAGAAAAAATGCAAATAATATTCTCTTATCTACGCGCTAGAATGCATTTATTAATCTTTTTAGTTTTTTTTGTAACGCCAAGGTACATGGAAAAGTCGTAGCGCCAGCTTCGTTTAGATTCGATTAACTCTAATTCGCACGATAACGTTTATCGCCATGGAAAATACTCTACACAATAAATACAAAGTGCACAAAAAATATGTCTATCGCGACATTAGGAACATGTCAAGGTCGGAACTACTGCTATACAAATTCTCCATTAATCCCGGATGTAGCTGCGATTCAGGTTCTGCAGGCGGACACTTTGGGGAGCCTTTTGGGAGCGGTCGAAGTTCTGCAGCTTGTTGGTCTTCAACATCCGGGGATTCGGACCGGCGGAGGTCCGCCAGTAGACCGTCTGCACTGCATTCCGTCCGGCGATGTAACGCGTAGTGGCGCCGATCAAGTGGTTCACCTTGTTAGTAGCAGACATCTCGGATTTGTTTGTATGTTCGTTTGGTATCACAGTTGGGTTGCTTTCGCTATAGAGTTGGCTCTATATGTGGTTTGTTCAATGGATACGTCCGATCATTGGCGCGCTCGATTCGTTTGTGTGGCCTCTGTTCGCTCCGGATCCGGTATTTATACCGATGCCTTATCAGCACTTTTCACTGGCGTATGTATGGTCACTATCTTCCAAGTAGTTGCGGCTTATCAGGTGTTGCTCAAAAGAGTTCCTAATTGATTAGCTTATGACCAGGTTATTATTTGCAGGCCATGCAAGCGAATGCAACGCGAAATGCGACGCACTTTCTGCCAAAGGTTGTTGTTTGCCAATCAAAGGGTTTTGTTTACACCACTGGGATAGTGTCTAGACTTGTATCCGTAACCAAAATGGAGAAACTGCCTGAATCGAACTCCCCAAGTGCCGCTCAAAGTCCAAAGGCTGATCTGTACAGCAGAGCCAATATTGCACAATTAAATAAATACCCCTCAGGCGATGACGTAAATCAGTATTAAGAGTATGTACAGTCGAGCATCTGGCACTAGAACTGACCTAATTAAAAAACTATAACCTATTTATGGAGACCCCTGTGAAACGTAGGTTATCAGTTTGGCAGAAATGAAAACCATTCTTTACTTATAAAGTTTTTTTGGATAAGAAACTTCTCCCTTAAATTTTTTATTGAGATTTTAAAATGTCCCATTAGGAATTCTTTATAAAATGAAAAATATATTCTAGCCACGTTCCACCGTTCTCCGAAATATCAGATAAAGTTGCCAAAGCCCCAGACAATTTGCTGTCTAAAATAATCTGGAGTGAATAATGTTTGTTGTAGGTCATGGGTTTCGTGTTAGGGGGGGGGCAATCTGTAAATGACACATTTCTTTGAAGAAAATTTTAGCTGGCTCATGGCTGCTTTGACAGAGGTCGCATTAACCTATTTTAGACACATCCTGCTCGGCTGATTGTGCACTCTGGACCAGCGACTAAGATATGCTCCATCAGCTGCGCTCGTTTGTAATAGCCACTATCATGAGGACTCTACGTGTGCGACGAATTCTTATCGGCTCGTGGGTCGGCGGCTGCCTGTGAATTATTATTTTCAAAACAAAACGTCAAGCTGGCACACGGTCTATGACTGCAATCAGGCGTTGTAAAATCCGCCAGAAAGTGTGCGGGTGAAAAATCGTTAAGCAAACAATAACAAAGAAAAACAAAATAACCTATGATCGCACTCCAAGTTCAAGTGCGATTCAGAATCAGTGCGGGCTGAGCCATAATCTTGGCCCTTATCTAGCCCTGGCACGTTGTCTGCTGGTGCTCGAAAAAGCCAATGCATTCGCCAGCTGAAAAGAAATTAATCATAGCGATCTTTGGGAATATTTCGCTGCCGAAACTTTTCCACACAGACTTGGACAGTTTGTTTTCATTTTTACGAGTGTGTCCAGACTTTTAAGTATTTCTGCTAGGCTTTTTCGGCCTGATAACAGAGCAAGTTTGTTCCCATTTCTGTCAAAAAAAAACCTTATCAATAGAAAGCAAAAAATTAGCAGAACATTGTTTATAAATAAAGGCCTCGCCAGACTTTTGCACCTCCCAATGAAATCGTGTGAATCTCAAAGGCTATCGGTTAGATTTTATGACTTCGTTTTTTGGGGGTTCTTAACTCTTTTTTTTTGCGATTTAAAACCCCCTGAATGTTTTGTTTACCAGATGCCAGTTGCCTAGGCCTGATAAGAATGATCTCCTGGTTTTTTTCGGTTAGTGCTGATAGTGTAAAAAATGATATACTAACAACGCAATCAGAGAGGCAAGCGGCATTGACTTAGCACGTGTGTGACTGTGTCACCATGGCGTATGATTAATCTGTATGTACAATTTTTGACAGTATTTTTTCGTTGCCTACTTTCGGGGTTTTGCGATCCACTCAAAGAGGAAGTGAAAACCCAAGTTGAGGTAGTATTCCAATTTATGCCAGCATTAGTAATACCAAAATTCTGATGAGCTAGCTGGTGGAGATCCCAGCTAATTGAATTAAGGAAACATTTAACGCCTACAACTAGCCATCGGCTAATGCCCACTTAAGTCAGCGCTGTCTTCGCCGTAATTGAATTTAATTGACGAGACGAGCAATTAAAGCGGAAGCGATGTGAGTTTAGTTTTCGGGGAGTGCACTCGGCGATCTCGCATCTGTATTGCTTAAGTAATTTATACAAAATTAACGTAATATGGCTGGACTCATTATATACGCCGGCTGAAGATCGACGATCTGGCGATCCCCATAGCTCACTTCCCACGCCCCCAGCCGAAACGAATTACCAGCAGGAGGGCGAAAAGGGCGAAGAGGCTGCCGCCCAACCGCCCACTTCCATTGCAGACCTTGCGAATGGTCTCCGTGTAAAGTCCGCGGCGGGAAAGCAGGTTCCGGATGCTGCGCAGCTCCTAAAAAAAAATTAATAAATAAATTGGCATAAACAATGACTCATAAACAGGTTCCTGATCTGCTTATAGTTTACATGCAGTTCTGTAAAAAAATTCTAACATTAAGTAACAGTTAGAAATACACTTGTTAGTAAATAGTTTGCTTATCAGTAATAACTTTCAATATATAAAAATTATTCTAGGAAATGAATAACTATGTGATGACGCAAAAAATGTTTCCTTACGTTGTTATTTTTTTAATAATAAGACTCAATAAACACAAAAAAAACCTGATTTATATAATATTTAAAATTCAAAATTGAATTCCACAAATGCGAAAAATAGAGAGTTAGGTGGGGGAACAAATTCCGTCATTCGAAATTATTTTTAGACAAATCAAGATGCGGAAAAAAATGAATATAAAAAGACTGCATATTTCTTGTGTTATCAGTAAAACATTTCAGTACACAGAAAAAAGTTATATAGATCGATATTAATAATTCAAAATAATTGTGAAAATATTTTTGTGTGGTGAAACCTTTCTTTTTGAATAGCTTGCTTTAATATCTAATAACCTTACTTGAAAATGTTTAGTAAGAATATATATGTATAATATCAAACAAAATAACTCACATCTGAACTCAATCCCATGCGATTGCGGGAGAGCACCACGGTGTAAATAGAGCTCTTCACATCGTTGCCGCAGAAAGTGAGCACCAGGTGATCGTTGACGGCCTTCACCACCTGGACGGTGCCGGTGAACTGGGTGTAGGTGTTCATGGCCACCAGGGATCCCCGCTGGTCGCCGATGTTGGACCACTGACCAGGAGCAGAGGAGGTGTAGTTGAAGGTGTACTCCAGATTATTGTCCCTCTCGCTCCACACCAAACGCAGATACCTTTGCCGGCGGAGATTGCTCTCAAATCGCTCCTCATCTCTGTCCAGATACGACTGTTGAGTGGTGGTAGTGGGTCTGTAGAAATCCCGATTCGGGTTCTGACCATAACCGTGGGCGGAATTGGATAGACGAATCTGCAAGTTACAAAGTGATTAGTGATCCAATTTAGGGTTTATTGGGTTGAAAAGAACTCACTTGTTCGGTGACATCGGCCAGGTGGATAATCACACACGAGTCGTACTCGTAGGTTCCCGGAAAGTCTTGGCTGTGCACAATAATCTCGCTGCCGTACCACAGACCCATTATCTATATATGCAGAGAGGCTGGGCATTATTACACTTACTCATATGGAAACGGAATGGGGGTCATTTGTGCCATCATTTGCATGCCACTCGCTGTGCGTTCAATTAAATGCCCACAATGAAAAAATAAATAAGCAGGGCTGGGAGTCGAACAGCATTGACATTGGGCGCACTTTGGGCGCAAAGGGTTAATTAGAACAAATCGACCATAATTGCATTACCCAGCAATGAGTTTTGAGTATTTAAATAGGCCTATGTATTTATAGACTTGTTATGGGTAATAATCTCTGATTCCTAAAGATGACTTCTGATCTGGATTCCCCTCTCACCTGTTCCAAGTCCAATGAGTGTTGCGGATTTATGTTCATGCAGCGCAATTCCGCGTTGCTTCGTTCCGTTGTGGAAGCCGGACCTCCAAATACGCCATACTGATCGACTGCAGTTCCTGCGATTGTGCTCCAAAGGAGGCCGAAGATCGCCAAGTAAGCCAAGGATTTGGTGCACATTTCCGTGGAGTATCCTATTTCTACTGATAAAGCTACCGAATGCGATCTGCTCCAGATGCTATCTCACAATCGACTAACAGAGAATACCAACGTGTTCAGCTTAGCTCAGTTCGCGGATCGCACTCAGAGAGTAAATCACCCGGAGGAACCGCCCGAGCTCACTCTTTTGCTCAAAAAAGCAGCATTCAAAAACAACCAGGCTCGTTTATCACACAGAAAGAAAGTATTTGCTTACAAAATATTCTTAAAAAGAAATAGGATGTTCAGAGTGAGCAGTTTCAGAGAATTTTCCATTTAAACTATGTTGCCTGTTTTGATTGATTTAAAAAACTCTCAAAAAATTCCTTGAAAATTTTCTCTGCATTTTTTGTAGTCAGAGAATTGAAAAGATTTTTGTGGAACTTATTTATTTTTTTTGGATTTATTTCTGGGTTGTTTTGGATTGAGGATGTTACCTTTAATCATTGTAACCAGTTCTTTTAAGAATTACAAGAGGATGAAATATAAAATTCAAATTAAAAATAATAGAAAATATAAGTAACAAGAACTCAAACATATTATAGAAAAAAAATTCATTTAATTTAATATTATCATAATTTAAATACAACGCCAAGGTGACAGCTTATTTTAATATACAAAATTGTATCATTTATGAATAGTTTATTTTTCCCAGTGCACTGTGGCAAATTGTTGTATTAATTAAGTTAATTGTAGCGCTTTCCATGCCGATCATCCAATCGCGCGTGCAACGCCCGCACAATGCGAGTTGTGCGCGTAAACAGCGCCGCTGCCCTTCCACCCAGAACCCCTTTCCCAAAAATGGAAAATGCGACTGGGGCTCCCCTTTGACCACTCGGTCTGGTGTCAATTGAGTGCTTGTTCCGCTCCTCCGGTTGGACCCTCAATTGATCCGAAAGTGGAACAGAGCCGCCAGGAGGAAAACTCGGTGAGAACCGAGTGAATCCAGTAGATCTCTCTGAATGGGCGGATGAGTCAAAAAAAAACATTGCAGACTTGTGAATTAAATCATTGTCGTCGATGTTGTTTGTTGTGAGTATGATTGTTGTATCGCCGAGTTTTAAGGCCTTGTTGTTGTGCGTTTTATTAGCATTGATTATGGATTTAATTCATTTTTATGTGTGAGTAAATAAATGGCGAGTACTGGTTTTCCGTTGCTAATGGGAAGAGAAGCAGATGTAAAATCACACAGTTATGCTCGAGATTGTAAACATTTCACGCTTTACAGAATTTTTTGAAATAATAAAGGTTTCGGTTTTGGCATAGCCATAAACATACATTTTTTGATAGATTTTCCATTTTAAATACAGTTTGAAACGCACTTTAAAAGTATGTAGTTTTTATAATCTTTGCTTTATTTTTAAATTCACTACAAAATTCGTATATGATTTAAGTCATGTAACAAGTTGGAAATAAGGGAGCTGAATTATACATTTTTCTAAAATCGCAGCAAGCTCTCATTAATTTTTTCGTAGATCCAATCAATATAGTGATTGACACGCACATAGACACCGGGTCTGTTTTTGAAGCCGCAGTGCTGACCCCACGAAATAAGACCATATAAAGTCTCACCATCTAAAATACAAAGTTAAAAAAATATAAGTTTATAATTCGGAACAAAAAGATCCAATTCATACCATCATCGGAGCAGACAAGCGGACCGCCTGAGTCACCTTCGCAGGCATCCACACTTTCATCCATTGAGCCAGCACAGAACATGCCTAAAATTAAGTAGAATGTGGGGGTTATTTCCTGCACTAACTAGTTAAAAGAGCACAATACATCTACTGAATGGTTCAGTATTTATATTGGAAAAGCTACACACCTTCCGACATGGCCGATCCATAAACATTCGGCTGCTTGCAGACATTATCTGCTAGAATTGGAAGCTCAGCTGATTTCAAAACTTGTGCAGGTGCTAAACAAATAAATAAATAAATATAAATAATAGAGCTATGAAATCACTAACTTACTGGACACTCCCGACTTGATGGAACCCCAACCAGAAATGGTGCATTTGCGGTTCTCGACCAGCTCATCCTTTTTATCTGGCAAACAAATAGGCTGCACGTAATCACTGAACTTCAGAGGAGATTTCAGCACCACCAAGGCAATATCGTTATTCATGTGGGTTCCCTTGCGGAAGCTCTCGTGCGTGTACCAGTGTTCAATGAACGAATCCTCCTCGGAGGACTCGGCTATATTTGCATAGTGATCTCCGACGCGAACAAAGTAGGCGCCCTTGTGGTTTCCATAAAGACAGTGGGCGGCGGTCAGGAGATGGCGCTTGGAAATCACCACCGCTCCACACCAGTGGCTGGAGATGCCACCACGTCCGCGAGTCCTTATGGTGGCCTGCCAAGGATGTCGACCGCGCTGCGCCACATTCCCCTTGACCACGCGCTCCTCTCGATGGGCGTACTCATCGGTTAAATCGTCCTTGAAAATGCCACAGCGACGCGGAGTGTGCAAAGCCTTGCTTGACCTCTCCCACAAGCCAATTTGCGAGTAGCTGCTGGCCGCGTTTTCCTGGCCCAGCTTTCTGCCAGTTTTTAATTGGCTTTGGGACAATTTACCACTGCGTGGCGGTGGACCGGCGGTGCAATGCAGAGCCACATCCTCGGTGTGGTTGCAATTATGCTCGCCCCAATTCCAGTGGCTGCACTTGTCGATGGAGGACTCGTTTCCAAAGCACATCACCTGATCAAGCCAAATGGGTCCATTGCCAATGCCAAAGATGTTTTTCTCGATTTTCTAATGGATAAAAGAAATATACTGATAAAGTTCATTTGCAAGTGGAATGTTTTAAATACCGCTGGTCCAAAGAAGCCCATAGAGTTACAGGCCACTTGAGCCGTCTTCAAGTTGAAGTCATCATCGCAAACACTGCCCCAAACACCATGGTATTTGACCTCCAGGCGGCCTTCGTTGGTATTACGTCCTCCCTCCAATCGGTATTGAACGGGAGCCTGAGGCGAGGATTGGAATTATAATACAGGAAATTTACTGGAAACTTCTAATTAACTCACCTGACAGACGGCCGCACACTCATCCGACTTATCGGCACAGTCCTCGGTATTGTCGCACACAAACGCCGGAGGGATGCACTCCTTGGAGGTGTGACAAAGCCAATAGTCATTCGGACACTTCATCACCGGAACCTTGCAAGTGACGCCAGCCACCTCGTCAACTCCGCAGTTATGGACGCCCCATCCTTTGAAGGCGCACTCGCTCAACTTTGTTTCATTGCCGTGACACTCGACCTCATCCATCAAATAGTTGAAGTCCTGATTGGGGGGAGCATAGAAAGAGCTGCCACGCACTTCTTGGGCACCCATCTTGAAGCCCAGTTCTCGGCACACTACATCTGCATCTTTCAAACCGAACTTGTCGTCGCACACATAGCCCCACTGGCCATTAGCTGGAGGGGATTAAGATGACACAAACATCAATTAAAGAGGACATAGCAGACAAGGAAATAAAAAGAGGCCTACTTTCGGAAAAACTTTATGAAAGGATTCATATATGTAGTAGGTAATTGGTAGTTTTTATAAAAAATTTACAGCTTAAATATATATTTTAACTCACCCTTAACTTCAATGCGACCCATATGCGGTCTTTCGCCTCCGGTCAAACGCACCTCGTAGTCCAAGGGCGGGCAATTAGCCTCATCCTTGCCATTATCGCAGTTTTTCTGGCCATCGCAGACCTGCTCCTTCTTCAAACACTTGCCATTGCCGCAATCAAAGTCACACTCCTGGTCGAAATTCGAACGGACGCCCAATTTGGGAGTCACTTCCTCAGCATTTGGATTTCTGAATTCCTCCCAGTCTTCTTCCTGCTGCTCCTGTTGGTCAACTTCATCCTTTTGCGGGAATGGATTCGGCAGCTCGGGATGACGACGATGGAAATCGGGACTGTGTTCGTGGTGTTTGTGTTCATGGGAATGGCGATGGTGTTGGTGGGGAGATTGGGGATTGGGATGGTGCCCGGAGAACGGGTCGGGTAGATTTGGATGGCGACGGTGGTAGTCACGATTGTGACCCGTCGCTGGCCAATTGTTTTTCATTGTGGTCGTGGTACCGCGGGTGTTCCGTTGAAAGTCAGTCGAGGAGTAGGTGGTACTGGGATCTAGGGTCTGCTCGGTTCGCGACGTCTCCCGGGCATCTGGAAAAACATAGTCGTCGTCAGCGGAATCCAGGCTCTCCTGTTCGCCCGCCTTAATCAGTTCGGCGTCGGAGTCAAGATCGGTTTTAGGGGTAGTCGAAGTCGTCGTAGTTTGAGGTTTTCGTGTGGTAGTCGTGGTCGATGTCGTAGGGGGTTTACTAATCACCGAAACTATAGCTGCTTCAGTCTGCTTGGCCAGTTTCTCTTGGGCATTGCCACTATGATTGAAGTAGGGTCGCAGCATTAGTTTGAGAGCCTCTTTAATGGCCGCTTGGGAATTTGGATCTTGGCTGGCACTAGGAATCTGAGACTGGGGATTGTAGAACTTGTGATCGAAAGGAGGTGGCACAAGATCTCTTCGCACTGTTGTGGTTGTAAGATTTTCATCATCATAGAAGGGTTCGTCCTCATCAGGATCATTAAAAGGATCGAATTCCTGGGCAGGCGTGGTACTAGTTACAGGAACTTTAGCCCAGGAGGCATTTCGAGAATGAGCAATTCCCGCATAGGAAGGACTGTAGTGGGGAGTCTGGTGAGAGGTTTTATTATCCACGGGTGGATAAATGGGAAATGTGTGCAGTCGGTTAGCTAGTTGAGGGGTTGGAGTCTGGGAAGCTAAAGGATTGGGGGTGGAAGTTGGTTTCGCATCAGACGAGGAGTCTGGTTTCGGGGGTAAGAGACCTCCATAAAGATTGGATTCGTTGAAAGGCAACTCATCATTGTTATGATTATCTAGAGGTGATTGCTGGCCTGGAGAACCAAAAGGTTGCTGTCTACCAATCGGTTTTGAGCTACTGGGCAACTGATCTGGATAGGAACGGGGTGGCGAATTGAAAGGAGGCTGAAGGTCGTTGTAAGGATCTTGGGGTTTTTGTTGGTCATCATAGTCCAAGTCAAGGGGTTCCTGTCCGGGCAGAGGCTCTTGGGGATTTGGTTGCGGTTCCCCGGCACCAGGAGAATGGGGTGTGTAGTCTAGATTTAATGGTTGCTGTCCAGCCAAAGGAGTTTTAGGTGGCATGGGCTTCCATCCATTGTCAGGTGAGCCGTAATTAATTCTGCGACTATAGTTATGTCGCGAAGGAACTGGACTTTCGGGCTCTGGTTTTCTTTCGTAAACAGGCTGAGCGTAGTATTCCCTTCCGGGATTGATGGGTTTCATCGGTGCCAACGGAGCCTTAAAGGAAGGATAATTACGATTGGGTTGCAGGGATCCCTCCACATATAAAGTGTTTTGTGTGGGTGAACGATGGACATAAGATGTCTCCTGGCCAGTCCAACTGGGGTTGTATGCCTCTTGATGATGATGCTCGTGATGGTGGGGATTCTGATCCAGACCAACACCCGAGGGACGCTGCATGTTCATGTCCGACCAGCGATCGCCAATCACCCGCGTTGTGGAAGTAATCCTAGTGGTGTATCTGTTGCCGTACTGATCAACGCCAGAAGTCTGGTACGATTTGGATTGGCGATTATCTGCAATCAGAGAGAGAAAACTTAAGAAAAGCAAGAGGAATACCAAAGGTTAGTAACCATTAGACGGATCTAGCCAATCGGAAGGAACCTCCCGAACTATATAGTCGGTACGATCGTCGCTGCGCAGTGCTTCATCCAGCACACAAATTCTACGGGAAACGCTGAAAATCTGCTGACTTGGACAATCGATTATCTCGGCCTGGCCAGGTCCACAGCGGAGGTATTTGCTCGGCCAACGTGGATGCGGCAGAGTTCCGGCTATTCCCTGGGGACAGGCGGTTATAGCGCCCTCAAGTTTCATTCGTTGCGTCCACTCGAAAATTATGTGGAGTTCAGAAAGAGTGAACAAGCGATCCTCGCGTTGAACTTGATTCACCGGCTTGCAAAATCCATGCGAGATACTGAAGTGCTGTTCAGCCGGGCAACTCTTAAGTTCCATTCCGATGGGGCCGCAACTAAGATACTTCGAACAGTCAAAGGGGTACACAAAGAAGCCAATGGAACCTCGCGGACAGGCGAAAGCTGTAAGTAAGAGGTTAGAGTCAAAAGACCTGCTAGGATCAGTTCTTCACTCACGATTCTCCTGATCGGTTTCCTTCCTGTGATACGGAACTCGATCCGTGCTGTTCACATGCTGCTCGGGCAAGCAATAACCTTGCGAAACGCTAAAAATGTCAAGAGGCTGACACTGCCTAACTAGCGTGTGACCCTCGATGCAGGTTAAATAGCCGGCGGCGTTGAAAGGATTTGGGAAGAGCCCACTGACATTTTCAGGGCACAGCAAGGGAGAAGGTGTAGCAGAAGTCTCTGTTCCTCTCGAGAACTGATTTCCAGTAGATGGGATTGGCGGCTGGTATCCTCCAATTGTTTGAGAAGTTTGCTGGTAACCTCCATTTGTTTGATAATTTTCTTGGTTACCTCCTTGCGAAGGTTGGTAAGCTCCCCTTGATTGATCTGTTTGCTGGTAACCTCCAAAAGTTTGAGAAGTGTGCTGGTAACCTCCATTATTTTGGTTTTCTCCTTGGTAAGTTTGTTGAGGATAACCTCCACTAGTTTGAGAAGATGATTGGTAACCTCCACTTGTTTGAGAAGATGGTTGATAACCACCAATTATTTGCGAGGTTGATTGATAACCTCCATTAGTTTGAGTAGATGGCTGGTAACCTCCACTTGATTGGGAAACTGGTTGATAACCCCCACTTATCTGGGAATGTTGTTGGTGGCCTCCTTTAATTTGAGGAGAAGGTTGGTGACCTCCATTGATTGGGGAGGATGGTTGGTAACCTCCGTTAGTTTGAGAGGATGTCGCGTATCCTCCAACCGTTGGAGAATGTGGTTGATAAGCTCCACTTACTTTGGAATGTGGTTGGTAACCTCCACTTTCTTGGGAATGTGGTTGGTAACCTCCACTTTCTTGGGAATGTGGTTGGTAACCTCCACTAGCTCTGGAAGATGAGTCGTATCCCGCAATAGTTTGAGAAGGGTGTTGGTAACCTCCAGTAACTTGGGAATGTGGTTGGTAACCTCCACTAGCTCTGGAAGATGTGTCGTATCCCGCAATAGTAACTTGGGAATGTGGTTGGTAACCTCCATTTTCTTGAGAATGTGTTTGATAACCTCCATTTAACTGGGAGGATGGCTGGTATCCTCCATTAGTTTGGGAAGATGGTTCGTAGCCTCCATTACTGTTGGTAGGCTGCTGGTAAACTCCATTTCCCTGAGTAGGTGGTGTGTAGCCACCACTTGTTGGAAGAAGAGGCTGGTAACCTCCATTTGAGTTAGTATTCGGCTGATACTCAGGTTGGTGGTAACCTCTATTTGAACTGGACACAGTATTTCCAATTGCTGGAACAGGTTGCTGAACAGGCGGGAGTCCTTGGCCTCCTTTCTCATCCCCTTCGTTGCTCAATTCATGCTGAGTGTCTTCGAAATATTCCACCCGATCGTATGCTTCCGTTATCTGGTCTCTGGCAACACACTTTTGCTGGGAGATGCTGAACACCCAGCCTTGCTGACAACTTTCTATGAAAGTTTGTGTGCCCCTGCATAGCAGATACTTGGTGCAATCGAAAGGATGCAGATAATAACCCTGCGCTTGCGGTGGACAAGTCAACGTTGTTAGATCCTGGAAGAAATCGGCTGCGAATAGAAACATTCACGTAGTACCTAAATTACAGATTGGAGAGAAAGATCTTACTCGAGAACATTACACTGATGTAGGCATAGTCCAGATAGTCATGGGCGGAAAGAAGGTGACGGGCAACACACTGGCGTTGGGACAAACTGTACAGAGCTGCTACGGGACAGATCTCAATCTGCAAATTGCCATTTTGACACTTTATGAAGTGACCAGCGTGGAAGGGAAATGGGTAATTCCCTTGAAGACTGGGTGGACAACTTCTCAGTGGAGACGAATGGGCTTGGATGTCATGACTGGTGTAAGTTGTCTCAATCTGCAATTCTTCCCAGAACTTTACTCGATCTTCTTTTGTCACCAGACGACTTGAACGGCAAGCTCGCTGAGACAAACTAAAGGCGTTGTGAGGCTCACAGCTTAAAATGGACATCTTGCCTCCACCAGAACAATGTACATATTTTCCAGCATCATAGGGATAAAGATGAAGACCGTCGGTGCCTTCGGGGCAAGCGGAGAGTATCATGGCTGGTAGAGGGAAATTCAGTCAAAAGTACCCAAACACGAAAAGAACTAATAAGAAGACTTACTCTGCTCGATGCTGATCACAGAGACCTTATATACCACATAGTCACTATAGACCAACTGAGTCTTCAGCTGGCAACTACCCTTGGAAATGCTAAATACATAACTTGGCTGACAGCTTTGTACCGCCAGTTTGCCAGCCTGGCAAACAATGAACTTTGTTTGGTCGAAGGGGTGAGCAAATTGACCACCGACTCCAGGTGGGCACAAAAGGTCAGAGGTGTGCTCTGCAGGTAGGGCAGAGGGTTCTAAAATAGGATTTAAATAATATATGAACTTGGGGGTAACTACGTATATAGCAAGCAGAAAATGGTAGGCAAAATGGAGAAATCCCGATGCAAAAGCAGATGAATAAAGCAATCTTTTAATCCTTAGAGTCCGACTTACTGGTTTGCAATGGTGTGAAGGTATTTGCTTGATGTTCTGGATAACTAGCTTGATTTGTTTGGGTAACTTGAGCCTGACTGGCTCTTCCGCCATGACAGTCCACCTTATTGGCAAAATCGCAATTGTTAATGACTGTGCTGAATGCAGTTCCTGGCGGGCAATCCTTCACGAAGGTTTCTCCATTTGCACATTCCAGGAATTGTGTACATTCAAATGGGTGGGCATGAGTTCCAGAGAATCCTGGTGGGCAACTAACAGCCCCGTTTTTAACCAGGTTTCCATGATCCGGTCCATTAATCTCATAAGTCCCAACAATTGTTGTCTCGATCAGATATTCAACATGATCACTGGGACCCTTACATTGATCCTTGGGTACGCACTTCTGATTGGAGAAGCTAAAGAGTTCTCCCGGCTGGCAGCTTTCAATAGAAGTCTGCTGATTCCAGCACTTGACGAACTTGGTGCCATCAAATGGATGTAAAAAGTATCCAGAAACTTGGGGAGGACAAGTGAGAGTCGATTGATCCACCATAAATTCAGCTGCGAAGGAGAAGGGCTGTCCAGTCAAGAATATCTAAAATAGGGTATTTCTTTTAAGATCTTACTCGATAATTCATTACTGATATAGGAATAGTCCAGATAGTCGTGGGCGGCGAGAAGATGACGAGCTACACACTGTCGCTGAGACAAACTGTAAAAGTAACCAGTGGGACAACAAACAATCTCCAAAACTCCGTTGTGGCACTTTACATAGTGACCAGCATGGAATGGATAAGGATAGTTCTGCTGAACTTTGGATGGGCACGATCTGAGTGAAGACAGTTGGCTTTGGGCCCTGCCCTGACTTTCCTGGTAGGAGTAAGTAGTCTCAACTTGGATTTCCTCCCAGAACTGTACGCGATCACTTCTCTGCACTTCACGACGTGGAAGACAAGATCTTCGGGATATACTGAAAGCCAACTGAGGTCCACAGCTTAGAATAGACATCCTGCCACCAGCCGAGCACTGAACGTACTTCTCAGCATCGTAGGGATACAAGAAGACGCCCGTAATGTCGCCAGGACATGCATTAAGGGTCAAGGCTAGTAAAATGTCAATGAGCATCAAAGTTTACAGTGAAAGTAAGCTAACTTACAGTACTCATAGCTGATCTGGGAGACAATTAAGGTGACATAGTCGGTGTAAGCCAATTGTGTTTTCACCTGACAATAACCCTTCGATATACTGAACACAAAATTAGGCTGACAACTTTGCACAGCCACCTTACCATCCTTACAACTCAGGAACTTTGTCTGATCGAAGGGGTGAACAAACAGACCAACTGCTCCCAGTGGACACAGGAGATAGTTGACCTGAATCTCAGTCGAGGTGAAGGCAGAAGCTGTTGCAATTCAAAAGGATTAGGGTTATAATAGAGTAAATCAAGCCAATAAGCAAGCAAAGCATGTACCGCATAATATGAGCTAAACAAACCCCAAATGGATAAGCAGATGAACCAAGCAAAGCCAAAAGAAATTGAGATAAGAATGAAAACTTACAGGAGGTCTGAGAGGAGCCAGAATAAACACATACCAAAGTGGAGCCATCGAAGATCTGTCCTTGCGGACACTGCTCCACCTGAGTTTTAACACCGATGCCGCATCGCAAATATTTGTGCAAATCGTGGGGATGCGGACGAAGGCCACGCACGCCGGATGGACAATCCAAGTCGCCCGCGGGACCAACAGAATAGCCTGACCCGGGTGTTAGTTAAGGTTTGTAATCAAAAATTACTAATACGTACCATGGCCCCCGTTTGCTGCTGCTCCAGCTCCACAATTGGCCACGTCCTTGTGGACACAGACCAGTGATGCGGCACTAAAAGCAGTTCCCGGTGAGCAGTCCATAATGAAAGCATGGCCATTGGCGCAGTTAAGGAACTTGGTGCAATCCGTTGGGTGCGGTTGCAATCCATTCACTCCGGCTGGACACTTTGGTTCACTGTCCAACTGCTGCAGTCGACCCAAGCGAGTGGATTCCGGAGGTGGTGAAGAACAATCCACATTGTTGGGATGATCACACACCAGGGTTTTGGCATTGAACAGCGTTCCGGGTGAACAAGTCTGAATGGTGGGACTGCCTTGGTAGCAGTTCACATAGCGATGGCAGTCGTGGGGATATGCAACCAGACCCGTAAAATGCGCCGGACACGCCTGCCGTTGGTCGGCTCCGTAACTCGAGAGCCCGTGCCCTGCTGCTGATAAGCCGACTTGTTCCGACTGCTCGCTCCGGTAGCCGCTGCCCGATCGATAAGCTATAACCCCGGGTCGCTGTCAAAAGCGCAATTATGAAATATTTGTATTGAGGAACTGAAGTAATTAAGAGCAATAGCTTTAAATTAGGGGCAATTTGCGAAATAATCTTAAACGTTTTTTTGCGAAAACAGGTGTTTTTTAATTTATGAAAAAAAATCTGGATTAAATCACAATTATTTAGAAAGCACTCTTTTTAAACTTTATACACCTAGTAAATAAAAAACACAAACTCAATTTGTTACTAACATCCACTAGCAAGATCACCAGACAAAGGCTCAGGAGCCACTTGGCCATATTTCCGTTTTAAAATATTTCTATATGAAAGTATTTCCTTGATGGCACCAGTGCTGATAGCGATCACTCAATTATGTTTCTCGGAACGCGGCTTAAATTTTTCGTTGTGGTCTTGTCCAACTTCCAGGCTCGACTGACTCAGACCCAGATCGCATTTCAATTCAATTGGGCTCGGGATGAATCTCTATCTCGGCCGCTGCTGATAGATGCTCTCGTAAGCCGCCAATCCAATTGAGTGGACCACTATCTGAGCTAGTAATCTCAAGACCTTTTTGGCTGCCTTATCGCCCTGTTTTTGTTTGCATTTCTTGTAGGGGGTTTTCACTCGTTTGTTTACTTCAGGGAAATCGAGATGATGCATTAGGATGATGATGATTTACAGTGGCGCAGTCGCATTTAATGAAGGTCTATATTTATATAAGTCATAAAACAAACTCAACGTCTTACCTAAATTAAACTACATGATTAAGACTATATCATTTGCCTGCCGGCTTATCAGCCACCGGCTTCTCGACGAGTCGAAGCCTTTGCTGTATTTTTAGCCAGAGCAGATCGTATGGCTGGCTGAGTTCTGTTTGCGTTTTGGGAATTCCCACAGATCGTCGAACTTCCGGCGATAGGATCAGTAGGTTTTGTGCGAGTCCAAAACTGCTGGATGCCACCCAATAAACACACAAAGCTGAGGGCACGGTACAGGCGACTGGAACCATCACAACACTCAGGCCACGGAACACATTGTTGGCTATGTTTTGCAAGCGGGTGGGAGGACGCGTTCTGCACATGGATTGCACTTCTATAATGGCTAAATTAATAAGTCCTAGTGTTACGGGTAGGATATATGAGTTGTCCACTACAGTGAGGTTAGGTATCCAACCAAATCCGCCAATGGTCATCTCGGTGGCCACGATTTGAGCTTCAATTGCCATGGGATCCGGAAGCATGTAAACCAGGTTGCGCAGAGCCACGGACTGGAAGATCCACAATGGAATCTGACCCCACAGCACAATCATGGTCTTCATGGGGTGGCAGTTATCGCGAACTATCAGATTCTGCCACTGCTTCTTAATCTAAAAGGATATGGAGATTAGGAAAGCTTCGAAACCTATTTGATTTAAACAAACCGAACGCCTATAGACAATCTGCGTCTGCTGATCGCTCCACTTGAACTTCTGCTTGGCCATGGCAGCCTCTTTTTTCAGTTCCTCAACAATGGCGGGCATCTCCAGTGCTATCTTCTCGATCCTAGCTGTGATTTTGTGCTGATATATGGTAAGTGGCAGGGTAACAACGCTTCGAAACAGGAAAGTTGACAGCACGATTGATGCCCACCAGGGCAGACCGCTGTAGTCGTGGATCTTGATGAGGACATCCTGCATGTAGGCCACTGGCGTGCTATTCGACAAAGTCTGCCAGAAACCGACCAATCCACCGGCATTTGCTAGTTGGGCACTTGCCGCCGCAGCTTCTGTAGATGCCAGCCTCTGATTGTACGTGTAATTAATAGTCGCTGTTGCCGGGTAAATGAAGTTGTAGGTGCCAGCGACCGTTGGCCTTCTGCAGGCACGCAAAAGCAGCACAGCTGCCATTTAAAATTAATAAATAATAACAAAATGGATGTAAACAACCAAGTGACCGCTATTATGCTTACAGAACAGCTGATTGCTTACAGTCTCGCTAACAACAGTGTGACCGGCTTAAGTCACTTACCAAATTCTGCCACGATTAACCCTTATCTGAGCTTCGCAAATTGGACACTCAAACTGAAATACATATAAACATAGTTTGCTCAACACATTATTTTGTATAATTTTATAACAAGAACCCTCACTAATATACCAAGTAAGTTTTTATTTTGGTAAAGGTTTTAAAGAAAATCGAAACAAAAAACATAGATAAGGTAGCTTTTACAAATCCATCATATCGAGTGTTAAAATATGACAGCTCATATATAATAGTTTATGACTGTGATAATTGTTGTCTTTGGTTAAATCAAAATTATTTAAAAAAGTTTGTCTGCCTCAGAAGCTTGGGTAAATGCAGTGTTAAAATTCAGGCTTGACATTTTCTGAAAATAACTTGTGTTGTTTTTTTTTTCAAGCTTGGCAATTTTCAACGACGAGCCACGGCCACTCTAATTTGGCATTTTATCTCGTGCAGCATACTCGGCTGCACTTGCAACTTTTCATTGTTTGAAACGCAATTAATTATTAATAAGAGTAATGAATTTTAGCCAACGCCAACCAGAATGGCACACAATACCAGCAGTGGCACTGAATCACATCTTCGACTATCTGGAGCCCCAAGATCGTCGATCGGCAGCGAGTGTTTGCTTTTCCTGGAGACTTTCCTTCTTTCAAAAACGGTAAGTTCGTGCCCTCTGTATGTATGGGGGTGTGTCTGTGTGCGTGGGTGTATATGGGTAAAAATGTTTAATTTCGTTGCTTATTGGGTACATTTTCTTTGTTTTTACCCTTATAATATATCCGTGTATTAATGATGCATACAAAAACATCTGTGCAAGCCAGAGCAATCCAAGACCTCAAAATTCGTATTTGGCAGAGTTTTAATGTATGTGGCAAACACCTCGACCCGTTTGTTTATGTTAGTGTTGAAAAAAGGGGAAAGTCCACGATAAGAGGAATTCCCAGTGTCAATCAAAGCAATTAATTAAACTTATTGATCCGATCAGCTAAATACGTGCTTTTTACGGCGGTCGAAGCGATTGCGAAAAATACATTTATTTTAATGTATATAATATACGTGCTTCTCTGTTCTGTTTAACAAAATACGTACATATCTGTATGACAATTTTTTATGAACTGAAAGTTACGGTAATTCAGTAATTATTTCCTGTTTTTTAAGAATTAAGTTTTAAAGTGGTGTCCTTCTTTTTCACCCCACAGCTACTTTAGGAACTTTCGCTTTCATTTGGATGTGGGCCGCGATGATCAGTTAGCATTCTTCCATCGCTCCATGGCTAATTTGGCCAGGGAATTGATTGTAGTGTTCGACTTTCAAAATGCATTTCACATCCAAAAAATGCGACGACTTCTATACAGGTAAGATTTGTTTAAAGAAAGCAAAAACCTTCCAAACTATTTTACCATTTATATCCTGACAGAGTGGCACGCTGTGATAATATCCAGAAATTGCGTTTCCAAACCCACAATGTGGGCCTTGTTGCAATCGGCAGTATGCAAAGCGAGCATTTGGTGGCTATCGAACAGTATGTAGTGCTAAAAATTGATACATTATTATCATACAACACAAAATAACCCTCCACAGATGCTTTGTTGAGCCTTTGAAGCTGTTTTTGAACCGCAAACGTCATCCCTGTCAGCTTTTGGACCTCGGAGCCATCGAGGCTCTCTCATACTATGGCCACGACTTCCTTAAGGCCATGGGCAAGCCCCAGGAGCTGCTCCAGTTGACACTGGCCAGCATAAAGTACGACCCTAGTCACTATCCCATTCTTTCGCTGGACGCAACGCTGCTGCAGAAGTGCGCCGCTCTGCAGGTGCTCTCCCTGGACTATGACACACTCTCCGACGAACTGCTGCACACCATCCAGATATTGCCGCTTCGCAAGCTTCTCATCGCAGTGCACGGCCTGGACAGCGAGGAGCATCCCGATGTGTCAGAGACAGCCTGGGCCCACTTCTCCGACCACTTTGCCAACATTGAACTGGTGTTGACCTTGGTGTACGCCTATGAGGCCATCGAATTGCTGCAGCATCGTGTTCTGCGTAGAAACATGCCTGTTACCCACGTGCGACTGCTCTTCTGTGAGCAGATGAACGCCGAGGCCCTTGATTGGATGTCGGTGCATCACAGTGAAACGTTGCGCAGCATCCACTACGTGGACTCGGCGTACAAGCATTCCAACCGCATGGACTACGCTCGGCACGGCTTTCTGCGCCAGGATCCCTTCGTCATGATGGCCTGGCGCTGCAAGCAGCTGGAGGAGATCGTTGTGCACGGCTACTTGATGGATCCGCACAATCTGGTTGGCATTGCCCGACTTCGGGGAAGGCAGCTGAAACGTCTTGAGGTCTCCATGATCGACTGGTCCAGCGCTGCTTCGCTAAATGCCTTTAATGAGGTAAGAGCTTTTAAACTTAAACAGCTATTTATCAATGTTTAACCATATATCATTTGGTCCCAGGAAATAAGCACCTTGCTGGGACAACAGTGGTCACCCGTTAACCTTGACAAGATGTCGCCAATGCTAGCCTTCGACTGCGATCAGTTCATTTACAAAATGCTGCGCCAGGATCTCAGCCAGTAAGTGGGCGAAGTGGTGAAGTACTCAAAACTAACCAAATATTGAAGCAAAGTCATCAAGTAAACAAAAGAAATGCAATCATGACACGTGATCAACTCGAGCGCATAGAAACTAATTTTAAAATTGCAACACCCTATTACGTAGCTAAAACAAACCCCAAACAAAGTATGTAAGCAAAAAGAAAATTTAAACGTTATACTAAGTTATCAAAATTTGTATATGTAAACCGAACATTTTGATTGGAACGCATTTTATAGACCATAATTTTCCTATGTTCTTAGTCATTCTAATCAAAATCGCGTTTTGCCTTTATTTGTTAGGCCAAAAGTAACAGGAATGTTAAGAACAAAGCAAAAGACTTGAGCACTTCACAAATTTATGTAAAAATGTAATGGGGCAAAATGAGTTTGTTGAAACCTGCTAGCGAAACATCATTATATAAGCAACAACAACTGTGATTCAAACGAAATGCAAAAGCGAGTGCAGATGCAAGTGTAAGCCAGTGTGAGCAATTGCGACACCAACTCTCATACAAAACAAAACAAAACAAAAACGACAACAAAAATTGTTAAGCGAATTGTCTAGTTAGCTAAGTTAAAAAGTAACAAAACAAAAGTGTTGAAAAATGTTTGTAAACCAAAACTACGACCAATGTCAAATTGTTTGCTCAAAACTCAATTGGCACAAATTGTTAACCTTTGTAGTAGTGTGAATAAGTACGGAATCCGGCGCTCAATTGTGATAAACCAACAAACAACAACAAAAGCAAATGTAACAACAACGAGAGCTCGATCCTCGTTCGCTAAGCGCCGCCATTTGTGTAGTTTAAAGTGATATTACCAGCAACAGCAAAGAAAATTGTAAGCAAATGCAAAAACACCACTCAGATATATATGTATTGTAATAGCCAAAAGGAGCTAAGTTAGCTGTCGAGTGTGGTACATTCGTTGTGGCCAGAGAAAAGGGGCCAGAAAGCCAGGCAATTGTAAGACCCAAAACCAACTTTTAAGTATTTCGTAGCACAGGCATTAATTTATACAACTATGTACTATATTTAACCTATGTTTGCACAAAACAGCAGCGTATTGTCACGAGCCGCGGCTCATCCTCCCAAGAGTTGTTTGCCAACCAACAAGTACAACAGCAACAATGACAACATCAACAACAACAACAACAATGGTACCTGAAGATCATGCTGAGCATTTAGAGAACAACCGAACAACAACCACAAAGTACTTGCTCAAATCTAACAATCTAAACAAACACAAAATCTATTGAAACAGAAGACTGAACGACAAAGAAAATCCCGACAAGGGTGTTGGCTTCGTTGTCAGAGCAATGCGGAGGATGGCACTGGGTTCCGAGACAGGCAGCCGCAAACAGAATGCGATCTCAAAGACAACTCTTACAACTATCCAATCGACCATCTATATTTGTATGTATCTATATGTAACCAATGCATGTAATAATTTTTGTTATGAACTGCAATAGCGAATATTAATTTTGTAAAACATGTGCAAATCATGTATAAAGCGAAGCAATCTAAGAATGTATGCCAAGCAGCTGAACAGCAACTGTAACACGGCCACAGAAAATATCGAAGACAGTGTCGACGGCGCCTGCAAACGATTCAAAATCCGAGCGCTGAAATTTGTAAACAGACCTGTTTTTATGTGGCCGTGTATTTAATTTAAGTCTAGTACGTACCAACACAACAACCAACACCAACAACAAATGTGATAAAAGTGTCATGCTGCTTCCAAGGACAACAACCTGTGCAAAATGCGAACCAAATGGTGCACGATTGAAGCAAGGAGAACTGTAGTAAGCATTGGAAAGGCGGGCCCCGATAAATGGGGACATAGTGCAGATCGGCTCTCTTTCATAGCAAAGTTAGGTATAGTGTCCAAAACTACATATAGCCTTTATAATTTTCTTCGTTCCTCAACAAAACAAGGGAGTATACAAAGGAAGAAAGGAACCTATACTTAACCATAGAAAACAAGAAAAGAAGCTAGCTTCGGAAAGCCGAAGCTTATATACCCTTGTAGTAGTAGAACTTCAGTCTATGAAAATTTTTTTTTGTCAGCGAAATTTAATTCGTAAAGAAAAAATCTTTAAAAACCTCAGTGTTCCATAATATTTATTTTTAATTTTTTTTTAATTGCTTTTGTATTTCAAGAGTCGCTAAAAACTCAACCGACGACAATGTCATAGTGATTCAATATGAATACAATTTAATTCCTTATTCAATAGTCGCCAATTCACATCATGTTTGTTACTGGATAAAATTAAAAAACGTTCTGCAAGGGTATACAAATTAAAAGAGGAAAGATCCAAAAATTCTTTAAATATCTGTAAAAAGAAAACATCTGTACCTCAAGAACATCACAAAATTAAAGTTTCGTGAAGCTATGAAACCGAGCAAAGAGAGTGTGAGAATGTAAGCTCCATCTTCAGCGTTCATTAATTGTTAGGGGCAGTCAATCAGTGGATTCATTCAATTACAATCAAAGTAAATGAAAAAAGTATTATGTTTTTCTGTTATACTAGAGTCACTTCCAACGCTGCTGCATATGAGTAACGTTCTTTTTGTATACTTACTACAAACAAAAAATATATATTTTATATGCCATTTATTGTATTTAAATTCGAGGAGACCGAATCCAATTTTGTAAACCATTCCACAAACAACTAAACAATGCGATTTATGCTAACTTATGTACTGAACCAGTAGCAACACTACAGAAAGAAGACAACAACCGAGTTTAAGATAAGTGTTGATCGAGAACAACAACCAGAAGCCAGCGTGTTAATATATGTATGCAGGGGAACAACAAGAGCGACATCGGCGGTGGAGGGGTATAAATGAAAAGACGATAAGATACAGCCGTGCATTAACAACAATGTTTATATATGTATATGCAAGTTATGCTTAAAAGTTATAAGAGCAAAAGTGAAGAAAGCTGTGATACAACAAAATCCAACAAAAAGGCAAACAACAACCGACAACACACAAAGATAACACCGACACATAAAACTACAAAAAACAACCGACAAGCCAATTCGAAACGTGTGCGACCAACAAAAGAATGTTAACAACCTTTCCAAAACTAAGCGCCAGAAGAATGACCATCGGAAATGGCCAATGATAAGAAATCTAAAGCGAATTGTAGAAGATCGAATCAGATCCAGTAGTAGTTAGCTTAGCAGGATTACGAAGGATGAAAAGGGGAACCAAAGTTTTGAACCGAAGTGTCTAAGCGGCACAACAGCATGTGGAATATCATTCGTATTCCGATCAGGAAGAAAAGTAAAGAGAGAAATCAAATGTTAAATTATATATCGATATGTAGAAGAACACACACATAAAAAGTGCACATAGCCTTAAATATATACGAAAGCAAAAACTTTATTTAAAGTCAATTTCCATTTGATTTGCCATGATTATTATTTGTGCAAGATTTTAAAGCTTAAATAAAAAACAAAACAGAGGCCAACGACCGTTTGTGTGGCATATGCAATATCATTACGATTTAAGACAAGCAAGAAATATAAACCAATTAAAGCGTAGCAAACAAAATGCATTCAATTGAAAAACCAATAAAAACGTTTGAAATTTAAAACAAATATGTCCTTTTAGTGAATGTGGGTTGGTCTTAATATTTAATAAACATAATCCTTGAAAAGCATTTTGAGCTTTATTTTCGTTGCATACTTCGTGGGCGGCGTTATACAATAGGCCAATGAAAGAGCCCCAAGGGAGCCGATTAAAAGTACACAATTTAAAATAATAACAGCGGTTTGTCAACAAAAACCGTGCACCCACACACTTGCTGGAACTTCCGCTGAGCAACGCAAGCGCTCCAGGATGTCGGGAGCTTTTCTCAGTCCTTGAACTTTTGACCTTGTTTCTGCTCGGTTATCCCGCTGCTGCGGTTATGTAAGCAGCTGCACGCCAGTGTTATGCAACCTGTCCACGGATTCTGGGCGCGTGCCGCTGCATCTTTGGCGAGTCAGTGGCTCTCAAACTGCAACGGTCCCGCCGAGCGATAAGAGTAATTAAACCGGACCAATTAAGTGGGCTTTGCAGAAAAGATAGCGCTGTTGAATGAATGACTGGACGTGTTGGTTATCTAGAATGGTTGCCTACGACAGACAGCTGGCGTAAGCCGTCACTAGTCTGTAGTTCCGCGAAATGTGATAGTTTTGGCCAAGGCCAGTTGGCCCTGCAGTCAACCATAAAAAATAGTCATCAACGAACTGATTAGGACAGTTGCAGAGGTGCCTTGTCCAGTGACCCTAAAACTGTTCCCAAAATTTCTATTTTAAATGTTTTGTTTATTGATTAGGTAGCCTTTTGGCCAGGTTGTGTTCGATTATTGACACATAGCGGTCACATAACGTAAGCGTATGAGTAACAGCACGAATCGGAGAGTACAGGCAAATAAATATCCAAAGGGGTACACCGAAAAAAAATCTTAACTCTTTAATTATGTACCTATTTATAATTTGTAGGATTAAAATTTAAAACTTTCCTTTGTACCACGCAACACAATTTAAAAAAAATTTTTTCAAGGTTTTCACTTAGGATCTTTACCCAAAATATAATTAATTATATTTTATTCCAAAAATAGGAATGCGTATCCTTAAATATCAGAAACAAGAGTATTTGTTGAAAACAGATATTATTGAATATGACAGAATAAACGCATGCACATGTTAATTCTTCTTATCTAAGTTGTGTTTGTTTTTTCCAAACTACGTAAAGAAATGTGATACCATGTGATATCATCTTGGGTGTTTTTTCGGGTGTATCTGGCACAGAACCCGTTGGGGTGTGTGGGGGCGAATCTCGTGAGAAAAGCTTCGTCGCAAGTGCAGCTAGGAAACATTGGCGTCGGCGCTCTCCGTGCTCCCCAATCTCTTTGGGGCTCTCTCATTCGGAGGTTGTCGTAGCCGTAGTCTCGTCGCTTTTGCCGCCAGTTGAGCAGTCGATTTTCGCACGGAGCACGACAGTCGAAAAAAATTGAAAGAAGCATTCAACAGCCAGAGTCGAGAGAAAATTAATTTTGTACTTTTACTCAGAATCAAACAACTTAGAATCGAACACAGTTCCCGATATTTGACCAGCTGAGAAGCATTTAAACCAATCGAACCTTTTCATATACGAAGAAAAACGAAGAAAAACCCTCCGGAAACCGCTTGCAACTTTTTCTAGCCGTTTTATTACCCAACAACAGAAGCACAAAAGGTGAGTGCACGCAGAAGGGGTCACAAGTGCTGGTCCCCAGTTGTTTATTATGTGTGGCATGCTGCAATGGTGAGTGCTGTGGGAAATGAGTTTTCCCACCCACCCATCGTCCACACTCACCCACTCATTCTCGCAGTGTGACGTAACTGTCAGTGTGTTTGTACCATCTGAGATTGCTCATACGCCGCGTGTGCGAAAGAAAACAAAAGCAGACGGGGTTCCATTGCGAATTTCGGTTGTTGCGGCACAAATCCGCGGGATAAACAAAGCTCAGAGGGTTCGCAATCAGCGCGGAAAATACTCATAATTGATCGATGGCGGAACGGTCTAAATTTAGAAGCCTTTCGGCTGTTGGGCGCCATCCGGTGCACAAAAAATACCTCTTTTCCCAATCTGATCTGCAGTGCACTGAAAAAAACTTTGGCGTATAAAAAAGTAATTTTAAATGAATATTAACAATTTTTTTTTTTTTTTTTTTTTATTATTTATTTAGTGCAGAATCTGTACAGCAAATTAAAGTACTTAACAACACAGGTGTCACCAATGAGAAATGTAAACCAAACCTCAGCATTAAGAAGAGGATTATATATAGTATTTTCTTATTGATTCCTTATCGTCTTGGCAAAGCCTTGCCTTTTGAGACGCCTCAAAGGTCTCGCTGGGAGTAGATTCCTAGCCAGAAAGCTGCGGTGTCTTCCTAATCTATCTCTGTATCGGCTTGTGTGTCTCCCAATCTGTTCTTCCACAGTGTGTAGATTTAGGTCTCTGTGAAGTGTCGTGCCACGCACATACCAGGGACAGTTAGTAATGGTACGTAGAAACCGATTCTGCAACACTTGTAACCTTTTGTAGTTCGATTTGGCTGCGATCCCCCAAATTTGAATACCATAAAGCCAGATTGGCAGGATACAGAATGCATATACTGCCCTCTTGCATCTCAGCGGCAAAGTGCTCCTTCTGTGTGTAAGCCAACGCAGTTGCTGAATCCTTTGGTTACATTTTTTGACTGTTGCTTTCAGATGTGGTCCGAACGTAAGGCGCTTATCCAGTGTGATACCAAGATATTTTGCTTGCGACGGCTGTTCCAAACTGACTCCCTCTAGCTGGATTTCAGGGGTGTTAGATACAAGTCTCTTCAGTGTAAAGCAGGGGTTCGTAGTTTTTTGCGGATTGATTCTCATATTCCAACGTTTACACCAAGCAGAAAGATCCTTAAGGTATTCTTGTATTCCATTTGCTGCTTCCCTCCGACATCTGGAATTGTAGATGACTGCAATGTCATCTGCATATGTAGCAATCAAAGCTTTGGAAGGATCTATCATGTGATGTCTGTTTGGGCTTGGTATATCCACTGTATATAAAGAGTAAAGCAGCGGCCCAAGCACACTGCCCTGAGGTACTCCTGCTCTCATTCTATAGTTATATTGCAATGGTTTAAAAAAAGCTTACAGAGACTACAACATTAATTAATTTAAACAAGAGATTTTTGTATCGTTTTACTGTATAATTGTTTAAAAATTAAAAAATTCAAAAAATCAATTTTTTGTCGGTTAGAGAAAATCTAAATTTCCAATTTTATTACATTTCTGATTAAAAAATTTAATTTTCTGCTGGCCATCGCTCATCTCTGGCCGAATGCCCAAATGTCTCTTCATTTTGCGAATTTGGTATTCTGCATTTTGCATACGCTCTAGGGCACTTCGCACATCCAAGCGCGCTTTGTTTATAAATAAACCTTGAATAATGCCGGCGTATTTTCACTGCTGTCTTTTCGCTGGTGGTTCGCCGACTGTTTTTCATTTTTTATCTCTGCGTCTTGGGTCTTAATTGAGCTCTGACTCTCTGAAACTTACTTTTCTGATGAGCGAGGCGCTCCATTGAGTTTTTTGCATTGCCTGACGACGACGTCATTTGTTGCGCTTCTCGAGGTCGGTGAATCAGACTCAGTGTCAGTCCAACAAGTGCATGTGCCGTGAAAATTGCCATTTGGAGTACAATCGATCCGAATAAATTAGCGGGCAAATTGCTTTGAAATTCACTTAACTATTTACTCATTCGATTTTGTCTTCTTTTCAGCTAATACAAAATGTTCGCTTTGTGGTATTTAACATTCGCTGTCGATGAAATACGGTAAGTGCAAGGCGGTTTTTCTACAGTTTTGACCAGCACTGGGGGCCCACAGGGCGGATGAAGGTTTTTTGGTGCCTACTTTTCGGCTGGATAGTGGGTGCTTATGTAGAATTCGGGAACAGTTTTATTAACGGATAAGGTCCTTTTTAAAATTGATTGGTAAAAAATGTGCTTAATTCTTTAATGAAAAAGGCTTATACAATTTTACAATTGATAAACAAATTTGGATAATATATAATCAAGTGGGTAAATGGAGTTTTCGTTAAACCAAAATAGGATTGAAGTAGTAATCAGTAAATACAAACCGATTATATAACCATTATCATGAAGACCGTTTCCTGGAACTTCCTTGCATTTCATAAATCTTCGCGATAACTTTTGCCGCAATTTTCGACGTAATCATTGCAAAACCGATAATCTAATCTTAACCAGTTGATGAATTAGCCCAATCTAGCCCACCGATTCTCCGACTGTTGCGAGACTGATCGTTATGGTTGAG